GGGCAGAACGTTTGTTCTGCCCTGGGCGCCCATTACTCTGGTTACGCCACTGGTTGGTACAGCCTGCTGGATCCATCCCCACAGCTCTGCTCTCTACACAGGCTATGTGCAGCACAGTGATATTGTTACTGCTATGCCCATCTGTCTTTTCAAATGCTTTAGGTGAATGCAGAGTTGATTTATACCCTTTGTGGTTACTGAGAACTATATCTAAATGAAAGTTTTTGGGCCTGGAAATGTAATTGTCACCTAACATACACACAATGACCTCACGAAATAGAAGGCATTTGTGAAGATGGGAGTTTTTTCTGGCCGATAAACATGATAACAATGATGCTTGTATTGTGTACTGTGGAAGAACAAAAAAAGTAATTTTTATTTCGGGTCACAGCTGGATGGATCCCTCAGGAAAAAACGCCCTTCAGTAGTTTCTACTTTGAACTGCTATGTCACTGAATAAATCTCAGTCTTTCATATGTTTGCACCTTGTGTGGATTTTAGAATATATGTACAGTATCTAAATATGTCTAAGATACAGTAAGCGTTAAAGAATATATTGGTAGCTTAAGTGACTATAATCTTATTATGCACACTGCAAACAAATCTAAATCCATGCCAGAAATCAAAACACTCCATATACACTGCAAAAGAAAATCACACATCTTTTTTCCCTGATACCTCTTCGACGACTGTCTGCTGAGGTCAGGTGAGATGTACTTAGCCATTTGGACTTCGACAGTGTGAGAATGGCAGATGTATCTGTGAAAGAGCTGCTGATAAGTTGTAGAATTCCAGTGGTTCTTATATGTATAGATGATTGATGAATCCTGATTTTACCCAAGTTATATAGCTGCAAATGAAAATCTAGTTCTAGCTCCGCAGTAAAAAAAAAAAAACGTCCAGTTGTTTTGGGGGTTGCTCAGCCCTAGATATAGCTGGTAATAAGTAAGGAGTTCCAGAAATGGATGCTCTTGAAATTACAGAGTAACAAAAGTCATGTACAAATTCAGCATACCTTTGTATGCCAATTCAGCAAATTTATTTTAGGGCTCATTTACACTTCCATGCTTAAATGCACAAACGTTTGTATACGTTTTTCACTGGGGAGGGTATATTTTGTGCATGTCCATATAATTAAATATGTGCACTTTTGTGAAGCCCCCTCAGGTCTAAACAACTACATAGCATGCCATAGTTTATATGGATCATTACAATTCTTTTTAGAGCACACAACCCAAATATGCCCTGAGATGACAACTGGGAACTACAAGAAAGAAAGACAGCTATGCCTGACTGCAACATCACACATGTTGCAGTGGTCCATTATTTTCTATGGCATAACCCTGTCATCATCTCCAAACATGCAGCAGGCTTTGAAACAGACTTTGACTGTGGATTGAGGAAGATAAGACAGCAAAATGGATAAAAGCTGACTGAACACATACTGCTTTGGGAGATCCAGGGCCCCACACCTTTCTTCTACTTCCTGAGCAACCTCTATATCCAATTTCAAAGTTTTGCCTTTAGTGACAATGTAAAACAACCATCTAGGTATACGTTTTTTTACATTTATATTCTCAATGTCCTGTACAAATTTTAAAATAACAAACATCCTGGTGTAAACGGAAATGATTTGTATTACTCATACATAATCACATTTTCAAACATTGGATTAACCAGTATTTGTGCTACTTTCATGTACCACATTCATGCAATGTTTAGTAATAATAGTAATCTGAAGGAGGAAACAATTGAATCACTCTACCTCTTAAACCAAATGGAGTTGGGTCACTCTTTACTTCATGACGTTTAGTTTTTTTGTCAGGGCTGGTAGGGGAAGCTGCAGGAGAACGAAGAGGAAAAAAGAGAAATACAGGTATTGAAGGTCTGGAGAGGATAGGATGATCAATGTAAACAGTTACCTTTGAGTTTATCATGGGATGATTGAGAGGTTCCAGTTTAAAATATGTAGAGTGGTCTGCAAGTCAACTTGTATGCAGGTGTTACTGCCACTGTACAGTCCTTCACCTGCTCCATATTACTTCCCTATTACATTGGAAATCACTTGTGAGAAATCTACATTAGAACACCACTTCACTCTTCTAAAATATTTGGCACCCAAGTGCCATTATACACCTTTTATCTAATGATATGTGGACCTAGACAGCTAACAGTTTAAATTATATAATAAACATCTAGGCTATTAAAAAAATCCCAGATACAACCTCTTTTAAGATGATTCTATCTCCTGCAAAAACTTTAAAGAATATATACAAAATAAAAAAGGTTGTATCCTAAAAACAAGAACGCCATGCATGGCTAAATTAGAGAAGAGCCTACGGCATGGGCTGCGATGGTAGTAATTCAAATGACGATATCAAATTTGTAAAGTCATGGCATTGGCCTGACTGCATGGTTGTCTCATTTTTCCAAACAATATTTTATCCAGTTTATCTACATATCAGATCGCAGCCACTCACCCAGAAAACTACACTGAACATTTATCCAGTAAAATTAATCCTTGAACATCCAGCTACAGGTTGAACTTGGCAAAGAAAGTGTTATAATTTTTTTTCATATGGTTCTTGGTATGTACAGGATTGGGGAATTTTGGCTAAAAGTTTTTTGTATTATATACAATGTTTTGTATTTTACAGTTTTTCCTCTGGCTGGTTTCCTATTGACAAATCTTACATATGGAAATAGTTCATGGAATGGTAAATACTTTATTTCACTGCGTATTTTCATATTATTATTATGTTTATTTCAGTCCAAGTACTGACTGAGCCATTAAGAAGGTGCAAATATGGCACAACAAGTTCAAATAAGGAATGTGCATTTGTTGATGCATTGTGGTCTAGTCTATCCTCAACCCTCCTACTTCATAAAGCAGCAGAATCGAGAGGTTTAATGAAAAATAATTACATAAAGCAGTGATTGTTGCTACAGTGCTGATACAGCCTAGACTTTTATTGACAATGAGGAGAAAGCACAAGCAGGAAACAGGTCAAACACTATTCCTTTATGGATTATATGATGATTATGCTGTAGGGACTGAAAACAGGTGTTTTTAAACGCTTTCCACTAAAATCAAGACTGCAGAGTATCATTCCAGGAAAACTCAAAGGCAGCAAGTTAGAACACAATTTTTAATGGTAAAGTGGTTAGCGGAAAAAACAATTGTTAGTAGTGGATTACCAATACATTTAGAAAGAATGAGTTAGAAGAAAGACTTTATTCCACAGAATCAGTATTAGTAGAAACATATTAAAAGGAACTGGTCTTTCTATACTATAAACTTTTTGCAATTGCTTTGCTACAGGCAAAAAGACTGTTCACTTTGCAAGGGAGATTTCCCTTAGCTTAGTAAATGAGGTGACAACTCATTTTGCAAAGAATACCCAATTACATGCAAAGAAAATTAAAAAAAGAAAATATTTTTTCTTGTACATGACTAGAGGATGGAAGTCAGCAGAGGAAACTTCCTTTGCAAAGTAAAAAGCCTCTTTGCCTTTAGTTAGTGAACCCCTTGGTGTCGGTGTCCTGATGCTGTGGTCTGACTGTTTAAACTGACTTCTGACATTTTACAAAATAAAGGAAGAAAGGGGTCAGTGTTGTACATGGCAACAAATCAGGTATTGTACTCCCAAGGCAGGTTAATAAATGAAAACTGACTTGTGGCTAAATACTGCACTGACAAATCAACTTTCTTTACGTCAATCCACAAAAGAGTGATCCCGGAGATTCAGAAAGTTGGCTGTACGATATATATTTTGTAAAAAGGTAGAGTCACTATGGAAAACTCCAGCATAGGTTCCCCCCCCCCCCCCAAAAAAAAAATCTGTTTCCTCTTTTAATGCTGAAATTTGATTTCTTGCTATGGGCAACACAAGGTGACTTTTTTCTGGGACTGTAGGTACTATTTTTTCTTCTTCAAATAACAGTGCTCTGTCTGTGCAAACTGTGCACTGGCTAACAGTTATGTAGCAACAAGTCAAATATCATATGTAAGGGTGGTTGCATCAAATGCAAGGGTTGTCATAGCAAACCTGACTGATCTGAGAACTTTAGATAACTGAGCACTGTAGGGGTACTTAACTCTGAATGAATAACTATGCATGTATGTACTCAAAAGAAAAGGAAATTCCACATGTAAATGTCTCCTGAATCTGGTCCAGCAATAAGCACAGAGCAGTTATATCTCTCATCTCCCTGCTGGCCTGTAGCCACCCAGACCCCAGCAGAGCTAAATACACTATTTAATACACACAATTACTAAAGGTAAGCAGGCTGTTCGCACTGCAAGGGAATTTGCACTTTTCAGGGGAATGTGGTGAAATTTCACTTTGCAAACAATACAGAATCACGTGCAAGGAAAATAAAAAATAAATATTTTTTTCAGGGACATGATTGGGTGATGGAAGTCAGCAGAGTTTCTTCTCATTCACTAAGCCACTGGGAAACTTCCCATGCAAAGTGCAAATTCCCTTGCAAAGTGTCCAGCCTAGTTGCCTTTAGTAAATCAACCTCTTAGACTTTTGGCCAATCTAGCTAATTCTGTGCATCAGTGTTTGAGGTTACAGCAAATACAGATGACAGAAAGTGGAAAAGAGTATGGTTAGTGCAGAGTATCTGGCAGGTGTTAGGTTACCTTTCTGAGTTTTGAGGTTAGGAAAACCCTGCAAAGTGAAGCGCTTTTTTGAAACTGCAGAAGATTCTGAGGTAGGGCTAGTAACTGTGCCATCTAAAAACAAGAGAGACACAGGAGACAAGAGAAATAGACCTATGTGTAACACATACACACACATACAGTGCAGCAGAGAAGGAAGAATACAAGAAGCACCGGCACAGCTAGGAAGGTAGAAGGTCCATAAATATATACAGTCATATACTTGCACCTAAACTGTCACTTCTCTACTTTTACTAAATGATAGAACTATAAGAGATGCAACTTACCTTTACCTTTCTCAAGGTACTTTGGTAATGTTACTGAAGAAGATTCAGGACTTAAGGGCTCATTTTTTCTCTCTTCCAGCTTTTTAATCTTTCCTGATTTACTTCTCAGAGGACTGAAATCAAAGATTAGAAAAAAACACTTGCCTCAAAACTCATGGCACAATATTATCTGTAAAACACATACCAACCAATATAGATATACTAGCAAAAGTGTGTGTGTTCCAGAACAGGAAAGAGAGCAAGTGGAGTGATGTGGTGGCAAGTGCAGTAATGACAGTAGGTTTGGGAGGGGTGCTGGCATGATCATGTACTGGGGAGGGAAAGGGTTTGAAAGTGCTGGTAGAATGGTGAGAGTCTGTGGGCTGTAGAGGATAGGGAGAAAGGGGGTGCTGGAGAGTGGCGAGAAGGAGGGGGCATAGACTGGTGAGAGTGGGGGTTGAGGGCAGACTGGAAGAGCATGGGTGGGTGTGCGGCACAGTTGTTGGTGGGGGTGACAGTGGCAAGAGAATGACAGTTGTCAGAATGGTGAAAAAGTGAGCAGATTTTTAAGAGCTGTAGAGTGGTGAGTGGGGTAAGAAAGAAGGGTGACCACAGGGGTGGATGTGTAGGCATGAAGCAGAGTGGTTGGGGAGAGGAGACTTAAACTGAAGACATCTTCCTATATATATCCTGTAAATCTGCAGTAGTGGCAGTAAAGATTTGTCACTACTACCCATGCATAAGTTCTTGCTGCCATATTGGGATGTCAGTAATATGATAGCCACATCCCAGGCATGCACAGTAGCGGCAGCACAGACCAGTCATCTTGCTGCCCTATTTCTGACATCACAATATAGCGGTAAGATGCAGCGCATGTGCTGCGGTAGTTGCAGTACAGACCGGTCACTACTGTGCATGTGCGGGATCTCGCCACCATGTTGATGGAAGCATTGCAGAGCGTGAGACCATATGGAGTGCAGGGGTGTGTACAAAACACTGCACATACCTGGGGATAATAAAATACATTGCTGCGCATTCATGGGGATACCATGTGCGGGAGTCCCATAAGTGTCATCTCACGTGTCTAATTACACCGTTATGACACAAGCAAATGCAATATTGAGCCCAAATGAAACCCTGACACCATATTATCCAGGAGCAATCTTATTTTTAAAAGACTGCCCTTTCTAGTTTTAAAATTTGCAATCAATCAACTAAACAAACATGTATCTCTAACCAACTAAGCTAATCCTTATACTATATTACTATTATGAACATTACATCTGCATTTCAACATGTAACCAGGTTAAAAACAAAATCTCCACTTAATTTCCTGCATTCCTCTCTTATAATAACTATTGGATAGATGATTGAAACAATATTATCATTAACCTAGCAATAGGCAACATAGGATTAGTGCACAGAGTACATAGTTACCTCTTTATGGAGAATAAAAATGGTCAGTTGCTACCATAAAGGCCAATTCACACTTTTGTCACAGTAATGCACGTTGTCCATGTTGTTGTAATAGTCTGCCACTCATTCAATGCCTCCCCAAAGCACCTTTCCCTTTTCCATGCTTATTGTATCTATCAAACATCAGCTTTCTTCATTCCTAAACAATCATTTAACATGGAGGGATTCAAAACATTTTTTGCAGTATAAAAGCCATATTTGCCTGGATAATTCTTAACTTGGGTTGTATACAAATTAGTAGCTGTGGTAAAAGGAATGTGGGCATTGTTGTTGAAGTGTTTCCTGCTCACCTGGTGCTAGACAGAGTGGGTAGAGGAGAACTATTGGTCTGCTCAACTGATTTGTGCTGGCTGGCTGAAAACACACCAAACAGAAAAGTAAAATATATTGTATGTAATAAAAAGATGCAGAGAAGCAAATATAAATGAAGATCGTAAAGAAATGTTTACCTCTGCATGCTTCTAGCTGGCTAGTCAATACCTTTCTAATTTGAGATACCCAGGTAGCCTTTATTTCAGGTGTTGGGGCCTGTTAGAAATATTGACATATTATAGAATTATTAGAGACTCTCTTTTGGGTGCATCTTCCAAAAAGCATTATCTAAAGTCTCACACATGTCAATCCACTAAATCTAGACTGAATATACTGTATAAATAAGGTTATACACTAATCCTAGTTATATGAGCTCCTGGCTTATAATATTAGGGCTGGACACACCAGCCTCACACTAATGCCTCCCACTATTTTAGAGTGTCTGTGGTGTCAGCTGGAGGCAGCGGTGGGTAGTGGTGCCTTGCTTTGTAACAACGCAAGCACTGGCTTTTTTTTTTATTTCAATGGTAGTGTACAAAGTGTACACTCCATCCAGGTTTTCAATAAAGCAGCGTGATGTGTGATCCTTCCACTGTTGCTAGGCTTGAGCGGCTCGTTACTAACACAAACTAGGCAGCTGCGAGACCCTGACATGAGCTGAGGCAGCCGACTAATTTGCCTGACTGCAGTGCTGCTTCTGGGCTGTGATTGTTTGTTGCAGACGTCCCAGCAAAGGGATGGAGCAGCAATTTTCCCAGGAGGGATAACTGCCCCATTCCCTCCCTGGATTCGCCACTGTTTGGAGGGCCAGACCAAATGATTTTGTGGGCCGGACGTTCCCCACCCTTGGTTTAGACAATGAACTTCTGACAATGTTTTTATTGCTGTACGTTCTTTCCTTTACTCTTGACTATAGCACCCTTCACCTCTTGTATGACCACCACTGGGACTATAAGTGAGGGAAAAATCTCCCCAATGGGGTCAAAGACAGAAAAAAACCTAAGAGAAATGTTTAATTCTTCCCGATTCTATCCAAAATAAAGACAAAAAATTTGGCTGTAGTTGGGCTTTAAAACTCCAGGGGAACTATATACAGTGGGAGGTATTCAGCATCTATTGCTTAACCTCTTGAAGTTGACCTCACACATATATGCGGCACCGCAGAGGTGGGCTTTAATTCCGGGATGCCATTCTCAGCATACTGATTGAGCTGTCTCCAGGTCACTGCTTACAACTGGGGCCAGAGACAAGCTCCTGATCATGTGATTGCTGTGACCGACAATCACAGAGATCACATGGTCAGAAAGCCCACCCCCAGCTTCTAGGGTTATGTAGCAGTACGTTTTTCGACTTCTTTTATTTTTACATATAGTAATGCTATACAAGTATCTCTTCAACCAGTGCCACCAGCAAGTTGAAGATGTATGTTTGTAAACACAATTTCAGTGATCACCATGATTGAATGTCGTGGTGGTCCACATGACTGGAAAATATGCTGACTGGTTACCCATCTTTTCTTCGAGACCCTTAACTGTCATTAACAGCTCAGGATTAGGAGCATTCACATGTGCACACTACTATTTCACAGCTGCACTGTAGAATAACATTCTAACAGTATGGGGGAGCTGTGCCTGAGAAGAATATTTTACCGATTGTACATGATAAGCCCACAGTCTTAGTTCTCTTCCTTAACATAACATATCCTTGAACCTTGTTTTTACCAGGTTTGTGTTAAATACTTAAAAAAGATCTTCTTACTTGAGCTACCTAAATGATGACCATAAAGTACTTCATATTCCAATCACCATACAACAACTAAGAACACAGATTTGTGGTTTTGTGTGAAAATGGTGAATTATGACTGACATACCAATAACAATCACTTTTGTGTCCAAGCTGTGTTGTATATACCTTTGCATAGCTATTTGAAAGACCCCTAATACATTTTATGGGTCTCATACAAAGCCTAAATACTGCAAGTTTATATTGTGGGACTTCATATTTCTATATCATGATTACTCAGGACTAATAGCTGCAGTTTAGCCTTAAAGAAGAACTCCAGTAAAAAAAACTGCTCGATTTGCTCTAGGGGCTAAAATTAAGAAATACACTCAACAGATCCTTGGTCCCGCTTGGCTGCTAGACCCCGCAGCCTCTTCACCCCTGGGCTCCGGGGGGTCTAAAGACCTGTGACATTGTCACATTTAATACAGAAGCATTAGACATGAGGGCGCTATTGGACATTCTACCACCAGAGCTGAGAGGAAGAGAGGTGAACGCTCACTGCTACAGGACCGACGATCAGGTGAGTATATTTTCTTTTTTTTTTAAGCCCCTAGACTAAAACGAGCAGTTAACTCTTGCAGTGCAGGGGTAACCCCACTGTAAGGGTTCATTTTTAGATTTCCAGGAGTCCTTTTCTTTAATTGCAACAGAAAGCAAAATAAGGTTACCTGAACAATGTAAACTTCTTCTCTTAAATTGTAAGAGATTTCAAATTTCTTGCTGTCCCCTTTTACAGTCTCGGTTATTCCGACACTTGCCATCTAGCAAAGGAAAAAGATGGTTGAACAGTTTTAGTACAATTACTGCCTTATTGAACAAGATTTTTCTTTAGAATACTATAATGTTAGTACTATAATACTATACATGATAATTTTATCATGTTCAATAATTGAAGGTTATAGGTCAAGTCAGCCTAAAACCAAGAACTCAATTTAGGCTACCACTTCTCAAGCATTGGCATTCTTTTAAGTAACCATGACCAGACAAAGCTCTGTCCACCATAAAAAAATGTGAATGCTGCCTTCCAAGCAACATAATAATACATTTCAAGTTACCCTGCCTATAAATATATCACTTCCTGAATATCTGATCTCATAGAGAATTAGTCTACACACTGCCTATTATGCTCCTCACTGACCTACTTACTTGTCCTCATGTCTTGTAAGCTCATCCGAAGCATAACTTCAAGATTCCTCTAGTAACTGCTATTTTCTAGAATTCTCTACTTTGCCCTGTTAGATTTGCATCCAACTGTTCCTCACCAGTTAACCCACTACACCTGCAGTCACAGCCGTCTCCTTTATCTGCTGTGTTTAATGTTTCTCTACCTCTTCTCCCCCTGTGTCATCTCTGTATTTCTTTTTGCCCGGAGTGGCATCCATTTACTAATATGCAATGCTACATAATATGTTGGCACTTTATAAATAAAGGATAATAATAATGCTACTCCTAAATTCTGTGAGTACACCACAGGGAAACAATTACTTTCTTTGCTTAATACGATTTCCCTTGACTGAGATACTTGAAATATTCATATTTTAAAGTAGTCATATACTAAAATAGTTTCATGGCACTACTAACATGCACTGATGTGTTATAGTAGCACAAAATAATGTGGAGAAAACATACTTACATTTAAGGAATGTTTGAAGCTATAAGAGGGGGCCTTCTCATAGCCCTCCCCATTCTCTTCCCTCTTCTTGCAGAACAGCACGGCCTTCTCATGCAGAAACAAGTGTCTCTGCATTGGCTTAAACCTTGCCAGGTCCTTTACTTTGGAATGGCCTTTTTTATGCTCAGTCCACACACTGAAAGAGCCTTGCATCAGAAGTTTCCCAAGATCATTAAGGTTTCCCTGGAATAAATATTGGGTAATCATGATTATTTACTAAGAACAACATAAACTTGGCACATTTTAAGTGAATATGAATGCAAATTAAAAGGAGAATTATGAGGCGAGTGATTTTCACTCAGCCTCATAATCTGAGCCGACCTGTGACAATGAAACTATCACAGGTCGGCTCAGCAGAATGGGAAGTGAGCGAACAAATACCGACGCTCGCTCACTTCTCGATCTATCCGTGCAGAGAGCTGTGACTGTCACTCACAGCTCCCTGCAGGTATTCCCCCCTCCCCTGTCCGATCCTCCAGCGCTGACTAGTGGAACGGATGGGGGAGGGGCTGTTACAGCTGGCTCTGCCTCTAAATAGGCAGAGCCAGCTGTCACTCACGCAGCTGGGTGGATCCAGACAGAATTGTCGGGATCCGTTCCGGCGTCTCAGTATACCGCGAGCTGTAGCTCGCGGGATACTGAGCTTTGGGTGACGGGAGGATGCTAGTTTGTGTGCTCCCATTACCCTAAGGAGAACTATTCAATTACTTTCTTTGCTTAATACGATTTCCCTTGACTGAGATACTTGAAATATTCATATTTTAAAGTAGTCATATACTAAAATAGTTTCATGGCACTACTAACATGCACTGATGTGTTATAGTAGCACAAAATAATGTGGAGAAAACATACTTACATTTAAGGAATGTTTGAAGCTATAAGAGGGGGCCTTCTCATAGCCCTCCCCATTCTCTTCCCTCTTCTTGCAGAACAGCACGGCCTTCTCATGCAGAAACAAGTGTCTCTGCATTGGCTTAAACCTTGCCAGGTCCTTTACTTTGGAATGGCCTTTTTTATGCTCAGTCCACACACTGAAAGAGCCTTGCATCAGAAGTTTCCCAAGATCATTAAGGTTTCCCTGGAATAAATATTGGGTAATCATGATTATTTACTAAGAACAACATAAACTTGGCACATTTTAAGTGAATATGAATGCAAATTAAAAGGAGAATTATGAGGCGAGTGATTTTCACTCAGCCTCATAATCTGAGCCGACCTGTGACAATGAAACTATCACAGGTCGGCTCAGCAGAATGGGAAGTGAGCGAACAAATACCGACGCTCGCTCACTTCTCGATCTATCCGTGCAGAGAGCTGTGACTGTCACTCACAGCTCCCTGCAGGTATTCCCCCCTCCCCTGTCCGATCCTCCAGCGCTGACTAGTGGAACGGATGGGGGAGGGGCTGTTACAGCTGGCTCTGCCTCTAAATAGGCAGAGCCAGCTGTCACTCACGCAGCTGGGTGGATCCAGACAGAATTGTCGGGATCCGTTCCGGCGTCTCAGTATACCGCGAGCTGTAGCTCGCGGGATACTGAGCTTTGGGTGACGGGAGGATGCTAGTTTGTGTGCTCCCATTACCCTAAGGAGAACTATGGGGAAAAGCCCTAACCCCATAGTTCTCCTTTAACAAAATGAATTAAAATTGATGAAAAATAAGATGCAAATAAAAGAGTCAATGCTGCCCTACAAGACGTTTTACATTTTCTATGAGAGACAACATCTCATAGAAATTAAAGCCCAAATTGAAGTTAACATTGTTCTAAAAGCTTCAAATGCTAAGTATCAATTCTTACAGTGGTTTTGTTTCTCCACAGCACCAGCCACAAACCTGAAGAATGTGCTGCATGGGATAGCATTGCTGCTCTCAGTGTAAGAGAATAAAAGAAGCTGTGTCCATACAGCGGTCTGACAAGTCAGCACTATATATAGAATATATGGTGGTTAAAAAGTGACTAATTGAAAGCTTTAGGCTCTTCCATGGTAGATGGTACTCTTATCTTATTTCAGTACTCAGACTGATCGGGTGGTAATGAAGGCAGACCCTCTTATTCTCACTCAAGAGAAATGAGATTTAGGTTAGACAGACATCTGAAATAAAGTTTGCTAAATTCCTAACAGAGTATACAGGTTACCAGGTGGGGATTGTTTCACTTTACCTATTCCTAAAATATTTGGCGCTGAAAAGTTAAAGTTACACCAAACTCAGGAGTTCAATCTTAAAAATGCATTCAAGTACCCTAACTATTAACAAGAATGTAGCATCATTCAACTGTAGATCCTAAATTCATGCTGACACTGTTGTTCCTTCTGGAGGGTGGTTTCTTTTGTTCCCCATGGTCCGTGTGTGTGCTGCAAAGTAGCCCCCACTCCAAGCTTGCTCCCATGATGGACTACAATCTCAATACAAATTAGTAAACTAAACATGAGATGGCATGGGGAACAAAAGTAGCCACCCTCCAGAAGGGAGGACAGTGTCAGCACCAATTTAGAGATGACTTGAGGATCTACAGCTGAGTGATACACAGATAAGACACATTTTTGTTAATAGTTAGGGTACTTGAATGCATTTTTAAGATTTAACTCTTGAGTTTAGTGTCACTTTAAAGCTATAAGGTTCATCCAACCAAATGAGTAATAAGTAAACACTTGCCTCATAACCGGTGATGGCTATCTGGTGCATGGAGTCATTGACAGCCTTGAGTATACCAAGAATAGAAGCCAAAGCTTCCTGCAGATCTTCAGCTCCTTCACAGTTCTTACTGTACTTCAGCATTTCCTGAGTAAAAAAGGTTTATATTTTTAATATATGCCAAATCATAGAATATTTTATTTTTAAAGAAAATTAATTCAGTGCAAATCTGTATTAACTTTTTTTTACTGAATTATAGTGCTTAGTACACTTCCTTCATTGTTAATAAACAGGTTTGGCAGTATGAGATCATGTTTCAAGAGCATGTATTTAAGCAAATATCTTGAGAACTTTTGCTTAGAAAAATCAGCATGCTTTGCAATGCCAGAAGTATTGGGGCACCGTCTCTTGAGATGTACATTTGAAACAAACATTAGTCTCTCACTTTAGAAATTAATTACATGTTAATATTACCTACTTTCATTATGTTGTTACCTTTCAAAAAAACTGAATACATTGTTATACATTTATTCTTACAAATAGGGCAGAAAAATTGTTCCTGCAGGTGACCCTCCCCATACAAAACAGAGCGGTTTAATTCAGTATTGTCTACCTTCAGTAAAAGCTGGTACTTTGTTATCCTTTGTACAGGCTTCAGTAAGTAAGAGTCCAGACTAAGCTTGTGATCCAACTTCCTCTGGCATTCCTGCAACCACAAAACATGAATATTAGGCCATGCCATCTATTTAAATCTGATTTATAAGGCTACAGTACTTAAGAGTAACCTGGAAAAAAGCTGCATCTGAGCACTGGCGCCACAGACTCTCTGACCTGGGCTTGTTCTGGCAGTACTTCTCATATATCTGGAAATCTTCCATCTGCAGTGAGGAACAGTGTATTGGTAAAATTAAATATATTACAGGTTGACATATTTTCAGGCTTGTATTCACCATTAAACATTTGTTTAACATCAGCTCTTGTTTTCGATCACACTTAAGGTGTTCTTCAAATGATGCCTTTCTCTGTGTTCAAATAAAAGTGAAGCATATGGTATTTTACTTGTAATGTTATGTACCGTAGTACTTACATTATGGTGTAAATGATGCTAATTAAGACTGATTTTACATAAAAGCCATAGATTCCCATGCACTGCAGTTGTGCTGTGCATAACAAGGCATTTCATATTGAATACATATAACCTGTAAAGTATCTCTAGTAATGCAGGGCATATTTAGAGAGAGATGAGGTTAACCCACTTTTCACTTGTCGGTGAAATCAATACAGGATCCATTGTGTTTAGCACTGCAGCATGACAAGGAAGTATGCAGAATTCCCCATTTGCTTTTGTGGCCCAGCACAGGCTTGGTGTAGCACAGTGTGACTGTGGAAACTTTGTTACATATTATTGCATAGTTTACGGTTTGCTATACATTGATACTTTTTGTTTTAGGATGTGTTTGCAGAGTTTATGTTAAAATAAGTCACTCACAGATATGTATAGTTTTGCACCGCCAATCTAATGTATAATTAATTTAGCACAGCGAGGCACAGGGTTAATTCAAGTTTTATATGCAACACATTTTTGCTCTATTGTGTGCAAGCAGCTAAGAATAGAGGGATCACTAGTGCGGGATATACTAAATAGATACCTACTAAGTAACAGGCCCAAGCACCGCTGTTTGTTGACATCCCATGGCTTCTATGGGGAGCCCCATAACGGTCAATGGGGATGTACTGCGCAGGCACAGACAGGAGAACGAAACGTACGTTGCAGGATGTCAACAAACGGTGGAGGCCGGGCCCATCGGAACTTGGTAAGTATGCATCTGTTCAGGTGGAGGGATCGGCGAAGTAATCTTAACGGGGCCATGAGGATAAGTGCACTTTGGTTTTAAAGTTAATTTATCCTTTAAACACCTCTATTTTCAGGAAGTGGCATAACTCCAAATGCTGGACTCATCCAAGCATTCCTGTTACTGCTATGTGGGGAAGAAGTGCTCAAGCGCTTCCAAAGCCAGCTCATCTAGCGAGGAATAATAAAAATTGGAAAAGGCATACTAGTCTGCTCAATTGGTTTTTCCCTCCAGAACTGACACCGCTATTTATGGGTAGCTGAAAGGTAAATTTTCATGAAAGATCAATAGCTGACATTTGTTTTTGAAAATGCTAGTTCCCTGGCTGTCTTGCTGATGCTTTGGCTTCAATGCTGTCTGAGTCACTGGCCTGGAAAAACTGTAGAGATAAGTAATTCTGACATTTTTGACACTCATATACAGCATGCTTGTTCTGCATCTGTACTTGAAAGTACTGAAGTTAGCTAGAGCTGGGCATCTAGAATTTTTAAAAAGAGGCCAGTATTGGCAGCCCCTATACTTCTTACATCAAAGACACTTTAATCAAGCCACCTGATTTTCTTTATTTTTACTTGGAAGAAATAAAAAATTCTCGACTTTCTTTGTATATAGAATTATTTATTCCTAGTCAGAAATATTAATTTGTGAATAAATCATGGCTGGCAAGTCCCCCCCCAAAAATTTCAGTCTATAAGGTACATGCTCACCCTTTCAAGAAAACATCTTCCTACTAGCTCTGGATAGTCAATGTAATTTTCCAATTCTCGCAAAAATATCCTAACAAGAAAACACAAAGGTAATACTGGATTAACAGAAAAGGCTTGGGCTATACCATAGATAAACCAGGGGAATAAATCTAGTTTTTTGGGGGGGGGGGGAAATTATTTCTTGTTGCCTGAAAATCAGTAAAGGGTCAAATGCAGTATTTATTGACACATTTAAAGTAGAAGAAATACATATTTCATATGTTTTTGCTGGGTCAAAATGATTCATCTTTAGGACTAAAGTCATTTTTACACATTTTACATGCTTCCTCCTACTTTTCGTTATTGTATTAAATATCGTGATTTGTACTTTAGCAAGCTCTCAGTGTTATTAACAATGAGTTGATGCAGTTTATTTGTTTATCAAAACTCAGAAAGCATAATGACATATGGGGGAGGATATATCAAAACTGGAGCAGACAGTATCTGGAGTAGTAGCGAGTCTGCCACTTGTGATTGCCACTTACACTGCATCAGCTATCACAAAGCAAGGTCAAGGAAACATAAATTGTAAAGTAAAAGATTAACCTGTTATGGAAGTGGTAGATCTCTTCCATATTGCCAAACAAGACCTCCTTCTTATTGTGCAGCAGTGGTGAGAGTAGGTGCATCATTAAGGGGTTCTCCATAACAGCTGCATAACCCTTAAGAAAAAAAAAACATTGCTATTGATTAGTAATGCTCTCCATTGAAATGGCTTTTAAAAATGTAATATGCGGGTAATTAAATCATTACATATATAAACATTTCTTATGTAATGGTCAAGGACAAAATAAACCTTTAAAGTTATTAAGAGAACACCACCAACTTGAAACATATACCCAAGAGTCTGGTAATATGACAATAGATTCTAACAGGCATAGATTTCTTGTTTTAAAGCAATTGGCCTGTTTAAAATAAAAAATAATGTTTGCTTTAAGACTAAAACACTACATTTACCATTTGCTGAGCTTGTAGTATGCCGTGTTGGAGATCGGAGCTAGACATAGTTATCTAAAGACAGACAGTATAGAGGCACAACAGGAGCAGTGACAGAGCCACAGCCCTCTTACATTCGCATGTACTGCTACAGTGGTTGCAGAGGTAACAGCACTTCTGTGTTTTCTAAAGGACAGGCAGAGCATTGTCACACTCTCCAAGGAAGGGGCTATTCCACAGATCCCCTTGGCTGGATCAACAGGAGACTTCGCAAACATATATGGCATATGTATTGATATTGGCAGTTTAAATCAAATATGAGATCTTAAATGATAGCTGTGCTTGAATTTTAAACACTGCATTATCCTTTTATTAACAAATTTAGTTTCATCTACTGTATATGTGAAATAAAGACCATAATCCACTTCCTCATATAACATAACAAAGCAAACATCGATAAAAAAACAGAGGAAAAACCAATAGTTTATGCTTTATACCTCAAGAACAGACAGAAGTTCTTCAACGTAAACTCTTTCTGTCTCAATGAGCTCATTCATTACATGCCTGGAAAAAAGTGAACCAGAAATCTTCAGCATCTAGACCAAATGTGATCACAAAGAATTATTATAAACACATTTGTGCAAATTATTACTTTCACGTATCATTCTGTGTGTAAAATATATTTCTATCTTTGCACCGTTTAGAACAATCATCTTCCAATTGGTTCGCCAAACATATATACTGTAATTTATAGTAAAAATATGAATTCATAGATTTTTACCTGCACACTCTCTCTATAGTAACTTCCTCTTTACCCAAAACATTAGTAAATTGCCTGAGAGTGGTAGTACCATTACAGTGCCACTACCCTAGCATTCATCAGGGGCTCAAGCAGGGTATACACATGTCTATTTTTTTCACTCAACCCACAGGCCGAATGAAAACAATAGAACAGATTCTTCCATCAACACTCAATCATTGATGGAGGAATCTGTTGTATTTTGTTCATTCAAATCCCCTGCTGTTTGCATTGTATTCTGACACCAGCTGCTGCCAGAATACCTGAGTGGCCAAGAATTTTCCAACCGCCTGGAAACTGATCTGTTGATCGACGGATCAGAAACCATCCGAAATACGACATGTGTATACCAGGCTTTAGGAGGCGGCGTTAGGGAGTAAGAGCACAGGTACAACCTCACCAGTATCGTGTTGCTCATTTATAGAGCAATCAGCAGGCTGCAGTCAGGATGTAACACAGGAAGCTACATATTTGCAGACTTTCAATAGTGATGTCACCCTCCAGGTTTTATAGGGTGAGAGGAGCTTATGATTGAAAAGAATAAATATACCAGGTTACAAAGACTTTGGCAGGTAAACAGTTCATATATACATTATGCTGCAATAAAGAGGTTACTATTGAGGTTTTAGCTTACTCATCGGTGGTAGCATTTGCTTCACTTTATCTTGGTACACAAGAGTGTACACAGCAGTTGTCCTGAAATGCATAAATGTGAGCTTTATCCAAGATTGGTTTCAAGGCAGATGGTGGCCCCAAATTCGAAGTCTAGCACAGTTCTAACATGAATAAAGTTCTGCTATGTAGTGCGAACAATTAGGGCACAAATAAATTATTCACATACTCAACCAATTTGAACTGGTTACATAAGGCTTCTTTTTATTGCACACTGAGCAACTACTATATATAAATCAATATTCTCAAATGCTTGAATGCATCATCACAACATTTTCAGCCAGAATAATAAGGCTTTAAAGCCCGAGCTATAACAATCTAATGAAAATGAAAATACGTTTAGCCTCATTGATTAATTGCTGTCAATCTAAATGATTTTCATCGTACTAGAGCACTCTGTATTATTTACCTTCTTAATACAGCCAGATTTTCTTCATCCTCCATCACTGAACAACTCCTGAGTGGACCATCCACCTCACTCTACAAAAAAAATGAAGCATTGTCAAACTGGCAAGGGATTTTTGTCTGCTTGCAATGTGTTCATACATTGTCAACACAAAAAATGTTTCCAAAGAAAGGTGTATAAGATTCAAAATGATGCTTACCTTTGTTCTCCGGTAGTGCATCCTTCTTTGAAGAACAGTTTCGGGACTAGCTCTGTGCTCAGAAGCCCTCTGGAGACCTAGATGTTCATACAAAACGGTTGTTAGGAGAATTGTGACAATGCCTATTATTGGTATCTGCACAATGCCAGTTAGGTTTAGTGTACAGTATGCCATCTTATGTATACCAGCAAAAGTGTGCCCATTGCTGAACAGGAAAGGTTTGGGGGAAAAAAAAAACAATGCTAAAGAAGCAGGCAGTATGTGCAGAGTAGTGTGGAAGGGAATGATGGTGGGATATATGTACAAGACAGGAAGGTATAACTGCTGGCAATGCGAGTCCTTAATTCATAACTCCCTTTATAGTAAGATGGATGTGTCATATTTTGCAAGTTTCCCTTTCAGGCAACAATTAGACTCTTGTTCTTCAGCTATTTTCACTGGTTGAGTTGCCAAATCCATATGTCCATAGGACTGCTGATATATTATAATGGAATAGCCTCAACAGTAGGCTATTTGGAGAGAAAAGACATATTTTTTTTGGAGAAGATGGGGGTTGGGGATTCTTCCATATTAGGGCTATGAATCAGGTATCCCCTGTTGCTTTAAAACAGGAAACCATTTTCAATCAAATAACACATTGGTGCAATTTAAATATCCTCCATAACAAACATTCACCCCCTGATATATCTGTATGTATAATGATAGATTGTATCCTTTTACCTGGAGAAGAATTGGGGGATTTGGCAAAGGCTTCTGGTCTAGGCGCTACAGGCTGCACAGGCCGGGTCTGTTTAGCTGCTAGTTTTCTAAGGCTTCCTTTCCGCTTCTCAAACATTTCTTGCATACTTTGCTGCTTCTGGAACACTTTATTGACATGTTCCTGTGGTACAAATTCAATTACTGATCTGGCATTTTAATAGCAACCCACAGAATCGTCTACATTCCACTAACATGTGCTATCTACCTGTAACTCCGCTGTGAAAATTGCTTCATATTGTGCGAAAACAACAGGCAAGTCCTTTATGATGTTTTCAGTGCCACTTTCAAGGAACCTTTCTATCTCTTGCAGTGCTGATTCTGCCCCATCCTGAGACTGGAACTTGTCCACCGGTTGAGAAGCCAGTAAGTAAATACCTTCATCACACCATTCCATTGTCTAAAAGGTTTTCACAAGACAAACTGATGGTTAGAATAGAAAAAACACACAGTTTATTCCTCCATACCTTCCCAAGCAGCTAGCCCTGGGATACCACTTCACAGCTACTACAAAATTTGTGGCTGTATTGTTATTATGCAGCTGAAGTCAATGGCAAGGACCCACTGATGATCTAAATTGCTGACCTAATTTTAAAAATAATGCCACGCCAACACTCTGTAAAGTTTCTGAAGCATAGTACATCTGTTGAGTTCAAATAAATGGGTTCCAAACACTCTAAATTATGCATCATGACAACCAAAACACATGGCAAAGGAAAACGATAAAACAAGCTTCACAAGCTAAAACACGCAGTAAGTATGTGGATACATTTTTATCTACATGCAAATATATTTATTGCCCTGTCGCATGTTCTAGCTGCACAAACTTGTATGACGTTAACCTATTATTTTATGTGACACAATTTTGAAAAGAAAAAGAAAAAACATAAGACCATAAAACAGACATGCACAAGAGATTACCATTCACACTGATGCGCACTTCGAACATGGGATCACATTTTTACTATAACAAATACTGTAATTATCTTTCCCTTACTAACCTTCTCTAGGCGTCGATGCAGATCTAAAGATTTGTAAAGGTATTCCCTTCTCTGCTGGATGTGACTGCTGATGCTGCCGCACAAGTGATGAAGCTCATTGCATTTTGGAAGGATGGAATCCACTGCGTAGTGATTGCTTAGGATGAGATGGTCACCTTCTCTTGCTAATGCTTGTGCAGACTGTATCACCTCCTATGGAAAAGCACAATAACTATCAGAAGGACATAAAATATGAAATATTTAGTGATCAAAAATAGGTCCACATTTGTTTTAGAGGACTGTACTGAAGCGGAACACAAAATGTTTTTTTTTCAGTGGATGGCTGGACGTACAGTGTACGTCTCCCGTCACGAAGGGGTTAAAAAAATATTTCTTATACCTTGTAAAACTATAAAAGTTCAGTAGGTATAGAACAAATTGAAGACTAAGACTCACCTGGGATTTTTCCTCAAAGTTGCAGAGATCCTTCAGGATGTGTTCTACATGTGAGCAGCTATTCCCCACATCACTGTATGCGGTTGACCTCTCAGAGATACTGTCCAAAGCAGCCTTGATCTAAATGGGGAAATATGTGTTTCAATCATACGTGCTATGTCATTTACATTTCACAGGTTATTAGGTAATTTGTTACATAATAATGAATAATGTAAACAACATATTCATATTTCAGATTCAACTAGAAATAATATAATTAGCCTTGTTGTTGCAGTAACATTTTGCAATATATTAGACATTTGTATCAAGAAAACTAAAATACAGGTGAATACTTTTTATTGGCTAGCTGAATTTATTTTAGTGGAAAGCCCTCCATACTGATTATTTAACTTCATTACATAGCATATTGCCATAAGTATTTGTACCCCAAACACAACCAGTTACAGCTCCGCAAAAAACTGGATGTTCTGCCTCAGCTGCTGATCTGCCAAATGACTGACCTCATGCACCAGTATATATTTACTGAAGGAGTAGCGGCTATTTACAATGCAAAGTGACTGTCAGTGAGTAAAGTAAAGCTGTGTTCACTTTGAATACCCAATCATGTCTGAGGGAAGTTTAACAAAAATTGGATTTTATACTTAATGTGAAATCAATTTCTTGGGAACACATGAGTCAGAGACATATAAGTTATATTTGGTTATACCTGTGACCAACAGGTATAACCCCTACCACTCCCAACATGCCTCAGTTTTGTAGGAAAGCAATACCAGGAACAAGATTAAAGACATACCTCAAATCCAATTTTCTTTCACATTAATTGAGGGGCACAGGGTTGAGGGGACACAGGGTTCAGAATTGGAAGGTCCAAAAGTAGTCCAATTGAGGGGGGGGGGGGGGAGCAACAGCAATAATAGGTATAATAAAGGTGCCTAGCAGTCCTAATAGGTCACTCCAAGGGCTCAGCCCAAGCCGCCTACTCACAAAGTGAACCCTCAGAGACTGGGGCACACCAGAACCCATGCCAGAGCTTTAGACCAGAAAGTGATCTTCAGCTAAATAACACAGTACATTCAGGTCTGGAAAGCAGTACAATGTTGAACCCTGCACCGTAAGACGCATTCCAGGCTAGCCCTGCAATCGTACAGTCAGACAGGGTCCAGGTATAGCCCCCAAAGCTGAGAATATGTTGATGTGGATAGTTGCTTGAAGAGGCCAGCTCATGTAGCATGTCTGTAAATGTTGTTTAAAGGAGAACTATGGGGTTAAGGCTTTTCCCCATAGTTCTCCTTAGGGTAATGGGAGGACACAAACTAGCGTCCTAAGCTCTGTATACCGCGAGCTACAGCTCAGTATACTGAGACGCCGCAGCTGAAGCGGATCCCGACAATTATGTCTGGATCCGCCCAGCTACGTGAATGACAGCTGGTTCTGCCTGCCCGTCCGTTCCCCCAGTCAGCGCTGGCGGATCGGAGCGGGGAGGGGGGAATCCAGCCCCTCCCCTGACACGGCAGAGAGCCGTGACAGGATAGAGAGGTGAGCGAACGCCGGTATGTGTTCGCTCACCTCCCGATCTACTGAGCCGACCTGTGACAGTCTCATTGTCACAAGTCGGCTAGAACTATGAGGTGAGTGAAAAGCACTCACCTCATAGTTCTCCTTTAAAGAAAAAAAGCCCCAGAAAATTGCTAGTAAAAACAGTTAGCAGCTTTAATTTATTCACTAACATAACTTTGCAAAGTCAACATTCACTTTTCTAGGTGAATAGCCTCTATTCTTTTGATACACCAACCTTACTGCCTCACAATTTCAGATAATGCATAACTTTATCAGAAAACAAAGCCCATCATCTACATTCCTGTTAACTATGGGGAGTCTTGGCAGGCAAGTAACTGTTAGACTGCAGGTGTCTCCTGGCCCTTCTGACTAAGAAAGTAACTTCTGAATAAGAAAACTATCACACCTATGCTAGTTTACCAAGACACAAGACGCACACTAGATATTCTAGTTGATAAACCCTTGCCCCAGGATTTTGGATTGATGAAAGCAAATTCAATGTCCCAGGAACGTACAGTGTAACTAACTTTTTAGATTTTTGGATAGAGTGGAGAGGGATTAGAACCCCTGTCAAGGTTTTATTGCTTTGTCCCTGTTAGAAAAATTCACCCTCTCTGTTTGTCCTGGTGACCATTATCACCGAAAATGAAAGAAAATCCCACATTTTGGGGTATCATCAGAACAGGAATAGATGGGAAATCTTCCAATGGGGCACTATTTCTGGTTACCCTGCTGACCACCAAGATGTCCCTCTCTTTGGAGGGACTTCCTCTCACATCCTGTTGTGGCTATTGGACAGGAAGTAAAGGGAAACCTCCCCAATAGGGTACAGATGGCAAAAGAAACACAAAAAACTGACAGGGGTTATAATCCTCTCTTATTCTATCTAAAATTAAAAACAACAAACAACAAAAGATTCCATATCCTGCCCAGTATAAATAAGATTTTCCACACCTCTCGAAATTTCATCTCAAAATGCCGAAGTTGCAAGCACTGTTCAAGTTTTAGTTGGTGTTTAGACCAAAATTCATCAAAAGCGGTTTCTGTTTCATTAAGCTGTATGATAAGCCTGCAAGAAAATAAAACAGATTTACTACATATTACAGAGGTACAGGTATAAGATTTCCAAAACGAAGACCATGAGCAAGAAAAAAAAAAAGAACCTACAAGTTTCAGGTTTGTTTCTCTGGAACACCATTTCTACCCATACCTGGGATCTGTAGACCTAAATCACACCCTGCTTTTGAAAAAGCTTGAACCTGCAGCATTTGTACCTGCAGTACTGAGCAATACATCTCTGTTGCCATAAGACAGTTGTAAATTACAGAGAAAACTGCAATGTTTCAAAATGATGTGACATGGTAAGAGAGAGTATCATGCTAGAGAGCTGCACTTACAAGAGATTGCCATGACATGCACTGCTGAGCTTACAGAGGACTTGTTGGTGAGAGCTACACTTAAAAGAAACTGATGTTTGAGACTACTATTTTTTTAGCAGAAATCACAATCAAAAATACCTCAGACAGAATGAGAAATGTGCTTTTAAGTACACTCTCCTGATCTGGCTCCTACATCAAATTTTAATTGTGTGATACCACACTCCAATGCTTAAAAATTGGGGTCTGTGATCAATACATGCACAGGGAAGTACCATTGAGCATTATGGCTGCCCTGAGATTATATGGTTGTGGAGACCTTAATACTGTATAGTGCCTTCTGACACCTGCACAGATTGCCGAGCACAGCTCCGAGCTGAGAGGCTGATGTGCAATTATGATAAATTAGACAACATACAGCATTCCTAACAAAATTGTAGCATTAAA